TAAGGGTACGAGGGGGGATCATGGGGTCTGCACAGCACTGGCATCCATGTACAAGAGAGGTCGTATTTAGGAATGGACAGGTCAGGTCTCATGATGGGGATTCATGTGACTGGGACAATGAGACTCAAGCAGACCATTTATATTGCAGTGTACTCCCAGGCCAGCAATGACAGGTGGGAGTATAATCTATCACTCAAGTGCCCCTTTACACTTCTTCGATATAAATCCTTCTTTGACCCGAGTCCTAAACGTGTAACACACCATATGCCCAATAAGGAAGACATGGGAGGTTTGTGTTAGTGCAGTGGTGCTCTGTGATGATGACTGCAGTGTTTCTGTGGAGTTGATTGACCTTTTATGGAGAGTTTTGTTGCATTCACAGGAGGCTGATGCATGCACATGTGTTGGCTGTGTGTGTGTGTGACAACCTCAGACCAACCTCAAAACCTCAGACCAGCTCCCATCCAACTAAGCTGCTTATATTGAGCTAGAAAAATTCAGCAGCTGATCAAGACTGACAGTCCTTAGCACTTATTAATGGGCTACCTCAAGCAGAGTTATTATCACTGAGAAGTATGACATATGAGTATTTAATTCATTGACAGATTCAGCTCTGAGTTAATTACTTCCTCCAGCATCTGAACTGCATTTTCTAGGTTGATCAGGTGTTCACTACATCAGTTTTAGGAGAAAGAAGTTTTTCTCATGGCTAACATATAAAGTACTATTAAGCACAGGGAAGAAGCCTGGTAAGGTTATTGCTGAGTCTTGTTTTTCCCAACCTTATGTCCCTTTTTCTTACCTCTTTCTCAGGAAGTCTGGTTGCATCTTGAGTGATCTTTCACTTCCTACGTGGGCTATGTTTTTCACAGCAGCCATAGCACATGTATGCTGTGCTGCATGCTGGCTATGGGTTGCTTTCCCCATCATTCCATAAAGCTCTGAACTTGACCCACTATTGACACCCTAAAATTTTTGGCCAGGTTTTCAACTTAGCACATTTCAACATCCCAGCAGTTTTCTAACCAACAACGTGCTTTGTCCCCGGTCATCCATCTCCTTATTGAAAGCACAGCGGACATTCCTAAATATCAACAGCTCATTAAATATTTGCCATATAATGACCACAAGAAGTCCCTTTCTCTTTCAAAACAGGTGTGGTATCTTCTGCCTTCCCTATTGCCTTGTTAGGCAATAAATAGGTGTATACTCAGGGCAGCTTTGTATCAGAGGGCCTGAGTCCTTCGTTTGAAATGAAGTTATTTATTTGAGAGGCATAGGCCTGGTTCCTATCAAGAAGGTAGGCATTCACACTCATGTTCAGGAAATGCTAAACACACCATGACCAGCAAGACAGTGTTTTTGAGGTACAGGTGTGAAAATAATAGAAATTATCTCAAATATTTGTCTATTTTTGAGGAAACAGCCTTTTAGGACAACAGTAGAGTGCAATATGTACAGTTTTTCCCTGTCTTGCTATCTCAGCAAGGATTCTCCATACAGAGCAGACTTCTGCCATTTAAGCATGGGCTTCTCATAACCCTTAAGAAGCCTGTGAATATCCCAAAGGTCTGCACAGGAAATCCCTGTCCTTCTGTAGCAAGCTCAAGTGGATATGAGCAGGGCAAGATCCCAGAAGAAACACAGGGAAATAAGCTGTTGTAAATGAGACAATGAAAGGGCAAGAATAGAAAAAGCAGTGCTGTAATGCTGCTTTTCCTACTGAAAACATCTTTTCTAAACATAGCCTGTATTAGTTTTTCAACACTGATACATCATGGGGTCTGCTTGTTATGAAAGACGTCTTCTATGAGATGTAATAGCTCATCTCTGTGTAGTGTCTGTCATCTAAAGGGCAAAGCATCCTCCATCAATGTGGATTTTATTTCCCAGCATTATAACAGCCATTCTGAAGCTGAATCCAATTTATCGGGAAGGTAGAGACCTATTATCAAGTGCTGCAAGTAATAAGGTCTCTCAAAAGCCAGGAAGGGCTGTTTTCCAAATATGTCACTGAGTTGTCTGTTAAACAGCATTGAATAGAACAACACCACTGCAGTCAGATGAAATGCACCTCTTGTAGAAATATCTGGTCTGGTTTAAACTTACGTATCTTTGGAGATAGTAGCAAGAAGCCCAGGTAGCAAGAAAATACCATTATTTAATTTGTAAGATGGGACAGTGCATCCAAATCTGTTCCAGTGCAGGAGATCCTCATGCTGCAGGGGATCCCTACCTGGAATAGGTTACTGTCGCGTGCTTAAAATCTTGTATAAAAATATCTTGTTTCCAGGTAAACCAAAAAATGCCTGGGGTGGTAGCAATTGCTCAAATAGCCAAACATCCTTCGCATGGAGCAAAGAATCGATTTGCATTAATTGTAGATGATGTAGAATCAATGCTACAGGTCCTTCAGAGAAGTTGCCAAAACCCAGCTGCTGCCGATGTGCACGATCTGCCTCAGGTCTGTAACAAGCCACCACCACATTAGGGAAGGAGGCAGGGCCAGATACTGACACAGAAACAATAGCTGCTAATACTGGCAGAAGAGGTAGTGGATTTGGACACCCAAGATTCTGTGGCTTCTGCTGCCACAGGCTGAGTTCATCATGGTTTCCTCTCTGTGACGGCAGTAGCTCTACAAACTCAGCATCCCTGCCTGGGAGTCTCCATTAGGCAGAAATTGAGTGCACTTCTTATGAGTAGCCTTTCCTGGTCCCATGAAGTATTGCAGTTCTTTGTGATGTGCTCGACTCATACCTCTGCCATAGCTTAAGGGCAACCATCCAGAAAGGGGTGCCCAATGTTGAATCCTCAAAGCAAATCCATGTTTGAGGACTGTGTGGCTGAGGTGCATCAAAACTGCTCCCTTAAACCTCATGTCTCACCTGCGAGCTGATGAATTTGGGACAAATACTGATAAAGTGAAACCATGAAAGAATTTGGTAGCCCCAGCAGGGCTGAGTGCAGTCACACCCACAAATCCCCACTGGCTGCAGACACACCAAGCAGGCAGTCGGGCTTTGGGCAAAATAAATGAGATGTGACAATGTCCCATATCCATACACACACAACAGGGAGAAATGAAGAGAATAGGGATGCCATAGGGAAGATGCTGCCGCATCCCCAGCTGCATTGTCACCTTCCCTCTATGGGAGCTAACTGCCTTCTCTGCCTCCACCTTCCCCTATCACCACCCTGCAGCAACTCTCTGCTTATGCCATCTGCCTCATATAAATTGATGTGGAGGAGCCCGTGAGGGTACCCAGTGTGATATACTGGTGGGTGCTAAGGGACATTTGAATGAATTTTGAGTGATTAGTGGAAACAAGTCTCTCCAAAACATGTGGCATTGACAAAACACTTTAAAAACTTCTCTTTTTAATCAGTGTGTTTCATAGCAACTGTTTTC